GTAGGTGACGATTTTGGATTGACATCATCAAGTTGAACGGACCAGAAACATTCTCTCTAGTGACCCCATTCACCTCTCAGATCGGTGACCAGCGCCCCCAGCTCTGGGTGTCATCCGCTGCCGGTCAGGGCAGCCACTGTCCAGACGGCAATGTGTGCAACACTTCACAGTCACATACTGTTTAGAAGTGCGGCCGGAGAGGAATGGCCCGCCGCCGCCGTCAGACGGCTTAATGAGCGTGCCCTGCTGCAGGCACCCCGCGCGGGGGCTCTCCGCGACTTGCCGAGCTGTGACAGACGGTGCAATCGGCCGTGTGTTGACATCTGAGCTCGGCCCGGCTGCAGCGGCGTGACGGAGTTGTCCAACTCGGCGGCACCCGGGTGACACCGCCGATACTCCTGAACTCCGCCGCCGGATGTTTGCAGCACAAGACGCGGCAGTATAAACATGCCATTAGCTGCTCGGCCGGCGGGCCCGTCACCGGCTGATTACGGGGTCGGGGTCACGTGCAGAGGGTGCACGGCGCAGCGCGGCGCGACCGTCGTGAGTCAGCGGCACCGCGCTGTGCAGCGACAGACGAGACCACGCCAGGCCGCTAAATCAGACGCAGTACTGCGATATTATTGAATGCGTACATTGTCCCAAACGGAGAAAACGCATTTAATATTCACATAGTTATTCATCAAATGGTTATATCATCAATGGCACTTAGATGATTTATGTGTATCACACCAAGCAGCTTCACAATATCCTGAAAATGAGCAAAAGTAAAAAACAATGCCAGTTTGTTTATCATGGTCACACTTAGGGGAAGCGGGGGGAACACCGCCACTGTGGGAAACACCGCCACCCCATCTGGCGGCGAAAGTATGAAATGGAAAGTGTAAAAATCCGTTATTTCCTATTAACCGAACGAAGGTAAGCGTCTTCTGATTTGTGTTCCGATGTTTCAGTGTAATGGAGGCTCAATGTGGGCATTTAAAGAAAAATACACATTCTCTTATAAAAATTCGATGAGTTGGGAGCACTTTTGAATGTCTTTAAGTAGAGACTCATTTTGATTTACTTGATTACATCGAAAAATGACTGATCGGCTTTGTCCAGGAAGATAGATTTGCTTGAACCTTCTAGTACATTCTTGCCGCTGTCGATTTTTGCTTGTGATCACTTATTGGGGGAACACCGCCACCCCGTGGCGGTGTTCCCCCAATTGAGGTTGCGGTGTTTTCTGTTCGCAGCGTGATAAGTGATGAAACTCCAAAGACACACGTTTATTTATGTTCGTAGATGTTCCCAATCCGGGAATAAGCAGCTTATTTGATTTTTTACTTTATATTTTTCATGGATCCCGACCAAGCACTGCTAGCTGTATAAAACTGGCAAACAGCTGGTGAACCTATACCTATTTAGGTGCCCATCACCGATTGTTTACGAAATTCGCCACTTACCGACAGGAAACTTATCGCACGCGATCTCTGAGCAATGAAAAGCTTTCATAGGGATGGGTTGGGTTAACATCAGCACCGGTGGCGGGGTTACCCACACAATTTGAAGGCGGCAAATATGCAAGGTATTTTTAAAAGTCGTGATGCATAAAAACGCTTTAGCAGCATGCAAAATAAGTACCTAAAACACGTGAGAAAATGTTGAAATATTGTAACCAAGACAAAAACTACCAAGAGACTTCACACATATTCTCTCATTTTGGCGAAAACCTTAGGGGGGCGGTGTTACCCCCGCTTCCCCTAAGTTCGCTAGCTGTAAATTTGATAAACTTCATGTTGATGAATTAATGTCGTCAAATGTCAAAACTGATGACGATAAATCATTAGCAAAAATGTATGCTTTCGCGCCATCACGAGCCGTTCGATGCTTTGAGCCCCAAACACGATAGTTTACGCAGGTGTCAGTGAGACAATGTGGCGTTCGTAGTCAGCAAGCCGAGTCTTTAGGGTACATATAAACACAGAGCTGCCTTAAAATGAGAAGCCTACAAGCCCAAGGAGATCTCGTTGGCTTGCATGGGATGATATTTGAATTGTGGATGACATAGCAAAACTGTTCAAGCCACCAAGGTCTCGGTAGGTATTCAGAGAGCAGACGCAGGGACATTTTTCACCGGCCTCAAATCCTCGGCAGCCATCTTTCATTTCTGTGGCCGTATAATGTTTATATGGCGACACATCGCACATAATTAATAGATACTTATGTACTATGTAGAAGAAAGTGGGGCAAAGCGGCCACCCGGGGCAAAGCGGCCAACCATCGTTTTAGCCCTCCACAGCTAGCGTCAGTTCCAATTTATGGTTGCCAATTATACTTCTCTTCACGGTCGTTCGAATGAGCCAGACAGGGGTTTCCGTCCCATCGCCATTGCTCTGTGAAACACGGAAAAACATTTCTTGCCAGGTTACTTACTATTTTTACGATCTTTAGGTAATTTTTGTTGTATTCCATAACCGTTTAGAATTTCAGTTAAGCGTTCTTGTTCGTGCACTGTGTGGTTATCGTTCATGCCTTCTACCAATTTCAATACTTTTTGCCTCACTTATAGCTGAGCTGGAATGTTTTTGTCTTTGCCGGTATGCGCGGGCAAAATGGACGGGGCAAAGTGGCCAGCCCCTAATTGGCCATAAGTTGTTTCCCCCTGGACAGCAAACGTTGCTGATATTGAAATGTGTCGTCTTGCATTCATTTCGGCCACTTTTCCGTTACATGAGTTACCAAATAATGCAATTAAATGTTTTTCGATGAATATCCTGTCTTTGTTTACCTACAGGTGGGAAGATGACAGATTAAACATTCATCCTCGATTAAACCTTGTCAATATCAAATACATACCCTCGACGTTAATGAGGAAACTATTCTGTTTCTCATATTGGGACTTTAGAAGTCGCCGGTGGCCGCTTTGCCACAGGGTATGGGGCAAAGTGGCCAAAATGCATAGTTTTAAAGTTTTATCAATATCTCTCATATGTGAATGCATTTGGAAATGAAACGCAGTTGAAATAAAAGGCAATCTAATTGGGATCACATTGGTATAAAACAGTGGCGGATCCAGGGGGGGGGGCAAAATGGGCATTTGCCCCTCCCAAACGGCATAATTTTAACATTACGCCTATGGACGAGGCATGGAAAGAATCGATAAATTGTTATGGTTTGCCCCCCCCCCCTAAAAAAAACTCTGAGCTGGATCCGCCTTTGGTATAAAAAGATTCTTTCCGAGGCTAACCCTCGCCCCGTTGGGGGGGGCCATTTTGGCCCCCCCCTGTGGTTTTTCCTGAATAGCAAGAAAACGGCGGCGCGCAGCGCCGCCAAATTTTCAGTACCTTCCCGGGCATCAATTTCACACCTTCACACCAAATTTCAAGTCTTAGGTCACCTTAGGTCAGGAGTTATTGAGGTCAAACTGAGGTCATGTTCGAGCAAAAATGAGCAAAAAACATGCAATCTTGAAACGCTCACCAAATCTACAGTTATCAAGCAATTTCAAAGTTCTTTATATGGTCTAGTAGACGAAAAGTGGCGCTACAAAACTGCTATCTCGGATTTTCAAAATTTTGGGTTTTTGACCCAAAAAAATTCAAAAAACTGATTTTTTTAGAAAAACTAAAAAAAAATCCGAAATTTTTCCGAATTTCGAAAAAACCGGAATATATGTGATAGTCCCTGCGCTTTTCTATATACATACCAAATTCTAGTTCGATATCTCGTTTTTTGGCCAAGTTATAGCGAAAAAACTGTTCAAAAATGATGACGTCAAATTTTTGAACTCAATTTTTAGCGATTCTAGACCTCGTACGGCAAAACAAAGACCACCATTGAACTCCCCGTGACGAGCTGCATCGATTCGATACCCATTTTATGCAAAAATATCAACTTTGAAATTTGACCTAATTTGACCTGACCTTGACCTGACCTTGACCTGACCTTGACCAAAACGTGACCTAAGCTGGCCCCAAAGGCTGTCTGACCCACATAATCGCATTTGTCATGTAAAATGGACCATAAAACATGTATCACACGACACTTTCATATTGTGACCCCCCAGTGACCTGACCTCTGTGACCTGACCTGGTATCAGTGACCTCAACTAGCAAAATATGTGTTTGAAGAACATTTCCCCATCGATGATTTTCAATGAAATGCATTTTACTCGATTTTACAGCGCATTTCTTGAAATGCCTGTAAACGGTGAAAATTGGACCTTTGACCTGACCTGTGACGTCATCGGTTTGACCTAGGTCAATAAAATTGGGTCACAAGGTAGTTCCCTGATAGGGCTATCCAACACCGTTTGCCGCTTGTCGCTACGTTGCGTGGTTCTCGAGATCTTAGGGGGGGGGCAAAATGCCCCCCCCCCCCCAACGGGGCGCGTTGCTCGGCAGAGCCCAACGGGGCGCGGGTTAAAAATCAAGCGTCAGCATCGTAAAAAGTGTTAGGGTGGCCGCTTTCCCCACTCTCCCCTGCGTTTTCTTTGGCGTCTCGATATTTTTTCCTTGGAATTTGGACACACCCACCAAAGTGTGATTCGTAAAAATCATACCAACCACCATGGATGAAAATTTTTAAAGTTGATTGCAAGGTGAAGGCTCTGGAATGATCGCAAATGTTGAATAAGGCAAGACAAAATCCGATCATATCTATTCAGCACATACGCACTTAAAAAAAAAACTAAAATTCAAATATTTCAATTACGCCCAGTCCTATCACCTACGACAAGATCGAGGACTGGGTCAGCAGCATCCAGTTGGCATTCGGGACTCGGCACTCACCTGACGAAGTCCATGCGCGTGTCGACACTCACCTGACGAAGTCAATGAGAGTGTCGGCACTCACCTGAACGAAGTCTATGAGAGTGTCGGCACTCACCTGACGAGGTCCATGAGAGTGTCGGCACTCACCTGACGAAGTCTATGAGAGTGTCGGCACTCACCTGACGAGGTCCATGAGAGTGTCGGCACTCACCTGACGAAGTCTATGAGAGTGTCGGCACTCACCTGACGAGGTCCATGAGAGTGTCGGCGGTGGTGGTGTCTCGCGAGGACGCCTCGTCCTTGTGGATGCCCTCGTCGTTGCCCTGGCCCGGGTGGATGCTCACCACCAGGATGATGCCGATGATGACCGCTATCACCGTGGTCACCATGTAGTAGGCGATGGCCCGCGCGCCGATCTTGCCCGACAGGCTGAGGTCGAGGTTTCCGACGGCCGAGATCAGGCTGGAGACGATGAGCGGCAGGATGAGCGCCTTCAGCATGCGCAGGAACAGCTCGCCCAGGAAGCCGACGTACATGGCGTCGCGCTGCGCCCACTTCTCCGAGCCCGGCGGGCGCAGCGCGATCCCCAGGATGACGCCGCCGAACACGCCGGCCAGCGTCAGCAGCGTCAGCACGTTCGTCTTCAGGCAGCCCTTGATGTTGGTCACCACGCGGCCCGACATCCTGGCGGGCGACTCTGCGGGCGGGAGGCGCCGTCAGACGGCCGCGTCTCGGCAACTGGGGGGGGGGGGCTGAGCCCCAGTGACTGGGGCGGGGGGAAGGGGCTGTCAGAGGCCGCGTCCCGGCAAGTGAGGGGGCTGAGCCCCAGTGACTGGGGCGGGGGGGGGGGCTGTCAGAGGCCGCGTCCCGGTAACTGAGCGGGCCGCGTCCCGGCAGCTGGGGGGGGGGGGGGGGGAGGCGCTGTCGTGGCCCGCGACTCTCAACTGATGGCCGCGAATAATGCTCAGTCATGAACAATTGGCAAAAGCCTGGTTTGTTCTGAGAGGGCAGTGGTTGTGCATTGCATCAGCTGATAAGCTCCATTCTAATAAATCAACTAAAACTACGCTATTTATAGAACGCGATTCAGAAACTCAGAAAAGTTGAAATCTGATGTCATGTTCTACATTACAGACGACAGAGCCAGCGTGACATTTACAGATTGAATACAATTTCTCTACCCCACAAGCATCCTCACAATGTCGTGTAGGGTAGACCGGGCAAGTCGCCCCGCCGAGGTAAACGCCCCACCGATGTTTCTCGAAACAGGCTAGGTTCTGAAGAAACATCCTCTGTTCAATAAGAAGTACACTGTATGATCATTATCCCACGCCCCACTGGGGGGGGGGGGCTATTCATAGCACCCCTCTTGTTTTTCTGCAATAACGTCTAAACCGCTTGACGCATCGACGCAAAACTTTCAGTACCTTCGGCTGCATTAATTTGACACCTTCACTGAAAACAAATCTACTCTCCTCTCGTGAGTAAACTCACGGAAGAGCGGTTATATGGACACCACCTATTTGACGGCCCCAGCGACCGGTTAATCAACTCACCACTTGCCGGTCAACTTTCCGATGAAACGTGCGTTTACTCATGCATATTTACCCACGCTCGATGAGTTAACTCATTGTGAAAACTCATGTATCGTTGGTTACTGGTTTCCGTTACTCTCATACTGTGAGTTAATTTACTCATGGATGGGCGGTTTTATGGACACCACCTATTTGACTGCGCCAGCGACCGGTCAATCTACTCACCTTACTCATTGTGAAAACTCATGTATCGCTGGTTATTCACTTCCGTTACTCTCATTCTGTGAGTTAATTTACTAATGGATGGGCGGTTTTATGGACACCACCTATTTGACTGCGCCAGCGACCGGTCAATCTACTCACCTCTTACCAGTCAACCTACTCATCAGTCGTAGGTAAGGTTGACCGGCAGGAGATGAGTGGATTTTCCGCTGTTAATATTACGGATAACGCGACTTATCAGATTTTCATTCCCATCTTGCGTGTTATTTCGTGTGCGAAATAGCATGCAAGACAAGGAAGAACATCCAACAAGACCATATACTATCCGTAATACTAACACCGAGCAATGACACCGAACACAGAAACGTGGTCGTGTTATAGGAACAATCAACAAGATATCGATTGTTCTGTTCAACAAGTGCGTGGATACCTATTGTCATGCCATGGGCGACATAAAATTAACAAAATGATAACCCTGCGCTCATTTTGTACTGTTTAAATTTCAAAACGAATGACAAGTCAAGAGAACAGCAAAGTTAACCTGTATTTCATGCACATAAGAACAAGCACTGGACAACCTATTACGGGCGTAACGCTCAATGATCACAGCTGGTTGCAAGACCAGACCTGCTATAGGAACCCATCATAAGGAGCAGACGGACCTATTGTACAAGCAGCTTTCTATTTCACAGCTTTGTGTGCGATTATATTATTTCGTATCCTATCTCGTATCTCATTCATTAGCGTCCAACGTTTCACGTCTCTTTACGGTTAAGGGCGGGACACCCTGCAACAAAATATAAACGAACTGCAACAAGCTACTTAAACTGCAACTAGTTATAATGACAAAAACTTGCGGAACAGAAAACAGAAACAAACAGAGAAAAGTATGAGGCACCAACAGAACTCTGCCGGTCAGTCTCTGTCCCGGCAGCTGGTCACTTAAGTCGACCGCCGAGGTTAGCTCTTTGAACTCGACAACCGCCTCATTCTCCACGTAGAGCAGCTCCGTGCTCGCCAGCGCGGTGCAGCAGGTGGTCGACTGCATTGTCTGCAACGAGAACAAATATTTCCGATATTATTAATGGTTATATCCCGAGCAAGCTGCCTCGGGTCGATTAACGCATATTTTTCTCTCGAGTGATGTAACGGTTTTATCCCGAGCCGTCAGGTGAAAAAAAAAAAAACAGGAACTTGCAGCAAAGAAAATATACATACCCGGGGCTGGGACAATTTAATTATGTCACTGAGTTTTTGCCAAAGTTCCGAGGGTCATTAGACCCGAGGTATTTCGATAAAATACGAGGTTTGCTAATTAAATTGTCAGCCCTAGGGCAAGTTTATTTCCAAACATGCAACGCTCACAAATGGTCACAAAGTCCACAAATGCTGCTAAATAAATTAAATTTAGCAGAGGGCCGGACAACGTCCTTGACGACGGGCAGGGCAACATATTATTCAGACGGAGGCTGAGCGGAGCGAGGCCGTAGTCATTCAAATGAACATTCACTCTCTATACTCACCGATAACGAGCCAGCTCTCCTCAATGTCCATCGCCGGCGGCCCGCTCGCGCTGGTGCCCTCGCCGGGGTCGACGGTGGCGGCCGTGACCTCCGCATCGACAGAGGTGCTGGGACCCTGAATAACAAACCAATGGATGTTATTAATGTACGCCACAACAATACACAGTTACGGTCAGCCAGTCTATTTTGAACAGAGTTTCCTAGACACAGAGGGGATGCTAAAGATAGTGGCTCGTGACCAGGAATTGGTCCTGAGGAAGTGAGCAAAGGGAGAGCAATGTCATGAGCAGCAACAGTGGGGATTTCAGGTAGTTACTAAGATGCATGAGAAAAGTGGAGCTGATCTTGTAGCTGTGAAAACTTCAAAAGTACAGGTAGCTCAGGAAGGGGTGTGGAAACACGTAGGAGGGTGTCTGTTTTGGCAACTCAACACCACTGCTGTCTCGGTAAATACAGAGGAAAGGGATGATGGATTTTGGGTGATTAGCATGGTAGGATCTGGAGGAGAAGGACTGTAGGAAACCAGAGACTGGGGGCGTGGAAAACGCATGGTGGTATTAGACAGAACGGCACTGCAGGTGGTATGATATGACATGTTTATTTCTATTTGTTCTTCACTATTAACACCTTAACAATCACCTTAACAGCATAACGTCATGGGAAACTGCAGTGTGGCATGGACACTGCCTGGCCAGCCTGTGAGTCATGTGCACAAGGAATATTTGTGGTAAAGTTTCATCTGAGAACAGCTCAAAGCAGTTTCAAAATCATTTTTCACCAGACACCAAGCACAGCATTCCAACCTACCCACCTTCGACCTAAATCAATTTTTTATTATAGCTGGGCACCTGTGAACTTGCATATGCTGCCATTTGTTTGCATTTACATTTTGGTATTCCTCTGATAGGCATGTCACAGGTAGCTTTTGGATGGTACTGGTATTTTTTTTTTTTGTCTTCAGCAGTGCTCAGCAAAATAGGTCAACATTTTTTTTTAACCCTGAACTTTAAGGGAACGAAAACCTGATGCATTTTCGAACTCACCGCATGTGATGTTACGCTGGACATGCACTGAAGCTTTTGGCATGCAATTTTGCCACTACAAGCATGATCCTGGATATGTGCATATTAAAAATATAAGCTATTCTGCCTGTTACCCTGGATCTGGATGTACAGAGGTCTATAAATTCATTGTACGCTGCTTGAAAGGCAGTCTGATACCTAAACTGCAGTATGACGTGGACGCGGGGTCACACATGTGAACTTCCTGGCCCCTTTACTGTATATTAATGTCCCAGGCATGCATGTAGGCTAGCAAAGAGAGCTGTCGTTTAATTCTCCGGTATTTTCCACGCACAATACACTTAATCAAGCAAAATATCTGGTATTTTACTCACCTTATTAGCAGCACGCGACTCCCCCTGCACACACGGATCCGGCCGGAACGAAAATGGCGGCGAGGCGGCCTATGATCCATCGGTAAAGAAACACGTCAAAAACGAGTTTGATAACCGGTCGGCTGTGAGTACGCTTTTTACGCACGATTTGTGATTTTACTTACTCATAACTCACTTCCAGAACTCGCTTTCTACAGATTTAGTGAATGCATAATTCGTGAGTACGATAATTACGCGCAATACATGAGTCAAGGAACTCTTATTTCATGCGTTCGGGGCCGCCTTACTCATGGATGGCAGGTCATTGATTTCTTTGCATGAGTTTTTGTAATGAGTAAACCAGAACTCAGGGCTTGGAATGCTTCATACACGAGTAAACCAGCGATTGAAACTCATTAGCGACTGGTAAAATGACCTTTACTCTCCATATACGAGTAGATTTGTTTTCAGTGTTGTGTCAAAACATGAACTTCGTAGCTATCATAGGTCGGCCGGAAATGACGTCAGAAGGACGTCATGTTCAGCCGATTTCCACGTAAAACATTGAGCTACGTCATACTACGGCAATCGCTTTCAACAGCTCAGTTTTAAGCTAGATCCAATTCCTTTGCATGAGAGGATTCAGAATAGACTGCGATATCAAACTACTACCTCGGATTTTCAAAATTTTGAGGAAAATTTAGGTATATCTAATATATATATATATATATATATATATATATATATATATATATATATATATATATATATATATATATGTTACAGGGAGTTTGAGAAATCCGTGAGTTTGCAAACTCCCTAGTGAGTTTGCAAACTCCCTGACCCATCAGTGACTTTGCAAACTCACTAGGGAGTTTGCAAATTCACTAGGGAGTTTGCAAACTCACTGACCGGTCAGGGAGTTTGAGAAATTCCAGAGCGATTGGGCCAAATAAAATCAAATGTGTAAGATGAGGGTGGCATACGTGCCGTCCGTGATGTTAAAACAAAAGCGACTAGTGGTACGGCCTATATAACCGTC